TATGTATGTGTATATATATATATGTATGTGTATATATATGTGTATATGTATATATGTATATGTGTATATGTATATATACATGTAGACTCCAAATAATCCGGTCCTGGTCTGGATAGAACTTTTATGACCAGCTCAGCAAATAATGTTCTCGATTACTAGAACATGGAGCATATATCTATAAACATAATGGAATTCCACAATGGGCATGTATGGTAATGTGTTCAGTAACTGATATCTGAATATGTATGTTGCAGGTTGGACTACAGCGGGCCTTCCAGAGAGTTCTTCTTCTTGGTTTCCAGGGAGCTGTTCAACCCTTACTATGGTCTCTTTGAGTACTCTGCAAACGACACTTACACCGTCCAGATCAGCCCAATGTCTGCTTTTGTAGACAATCACCACGAATGGTGAGGTTTACTGTACACACACACACACACACACACACACACACACATATGAAGCTCAGATATGATCTTTAGTATCCTGATTACTTTAACTTAATGTGTGTGTGTGTGTGTGTGTGTTTCAGGTTCCGGTTCAGTGGTCGTATTCTGGGTTTGGCTCTGATCCACCAGTACCTGCTGGATGCCTTCTTCACCAGACCCTTCTATAAAGGCCTACTGCGCATGTACGTACAGTATGTGTATTCAAAGCACAGATGCATACAAAAATCTGATTTTTTTTAAACTCATTTGACCTGTTTATTCTCTTTCTTTTCCTGTTTGCGTCTTGTCCTGAGCCAATATGTGTTACAGTTCTCACACACACACACACACACACTCACTTGCATTTCTCACCATGTAGTCCCTGTGACCTGAGTGACCTGGAGTACCTGGATGAGGAGTTTCACCAGTCCCTTCAGTGGATGAAGGACAACGACATAGAAGACATGCTGGACCTCACCTTCACCGTCAATGAGGAGGTGTTCGGACAGGTTAGCTTCTGAGCGTTAAACAGCACGCACGCACGCAAACACAACCACAGACCCGTTCATTACCGACATCATGATTACATCACGGTGTCAGCTGGTGGCTAAGTTCAGAAAAGGAGATTATAGGTTTGTGTTCACCATGCATGCATGTTTTCTCTATCAGGTGTTTAAATATATGGTGTTGAGTCAGCGTGTAGAGGCCAGATAATCTGTACTTATTTCTGCCTGTGTGCTCCCTACAGATAACAGAAAGGGAACTGAAGCCCGGCGGAGCCAACATCCCAGTATCCGAGAAGAACAAAAAAGAATACATTGAGCGGATGGTGAAGTGGAGGATAGAGAGAGGAGTGGTGCAGCAGACCGACAGCCTGGTCAGAGGTTTCTACGAGGTATGGATTGGTTTGACATACTCTATTCTAAGAATCTAAGTTCCTATACTTTGACATGATTTATTTTTTCTTACGCCTGGCACTAATAATACAAGTTGAACCGTATGCTTATTCTTAAAATGTTTACTAATTTCTTTTGCCTTAAGCCTGGCTCTAAGTCTCTTTCTGCATCAAACTCAGTGGTTGTGTGTGTGTGTGTGTGTGTGTGTGTGTGTGTGTGTGTGTGTGTGT